CTCGTGAGTAATGGCTTACTCCCCAATCCCATTTGTTCCTGCTATGGTACCTAAATGATTAATGCAACTAACCACGAAATTGAGGACAGATGCTTGGGCACAATGCTTAGAAAAAAAGAAAAAGAGAGAAACCACCAACCATGAACAAATCCTCATGAAGTAAAAACTTAGTGTTCTGCTTGGTTTAGAGCTGAGAAGAAAAATGCACTTACAGGTTCAAATTAGTAAATCAGTCAATCTCTGGGATGAAATGGTTTTCAGGGAAAAGTCTTTTAAAAGCCTAGGGCAAAATGGAGACCTCAGTCAACTTTCTGAGATGGGCAATTCGTGCTCCTTTACAGAGATGGTTAAGAGGGGCCTGTGGCTATACCTGAACACCAAGAACAAAGGGCCCCCAAACTCAGGATTTACGGTTATACAGTACCAGGAAAACATTAGAAAGAAATCAGTATATATATTCAAGAAATGGCCAGAAAGAAATGATATTATTGGAGGTAGAGCAGAATAGAAGTATCTTCCTATTTGAAGAAAATCTAATATACAGGTAGAATGTGCTCAAATAGTAGGTTATTGCTGACGCAGCACCTAATCTTTACAGAGGGATTCATATGCTGAAAAATGCTTTCTGCAAGCAAGAAATGATAAAATACTCTTATTAAAAGAAAACAGCATGCAGTGAATATATGCGTTATATTTCTTAATGCTGACGCAATACTAAACACCTTGTCAAGGATATGTTACACAGGAGTATGCATTATATTTCTGTTGTTTTCTTGATAACACCCCATTTTTTTGCTGCTATTATACCTAAATGACTAATGCGACTGGGAAAATATTTATGGACAGATTCTTGTGCTAAATGCTTTGGAAAACAAAACAGAGGAAACCATGCTGAACTTACCCTCATCTGTGTCAGAGAACTAATTGACAGGGGTTAGTTTGGTGAAAGGGAAGCTCGTCCACCATAGGGCAAAGAGAAATCACAGAGCAGGTGCAGGACAAAGTACTGGGGGATTTGATTAGTACTTTCACCAAATACAAAGTTGATGATCTGACATGTAAACCCCCAGCTAACTTATGATAAAAAGTGCTATATAAAAAATGACCAGAAGCACATGTACAACTGTATCATCAAGAAAAACGAATTTAAAAAAATTTTATTACATACTTTTATTAGGGGCTCTGACATCTCTTACCGCAATCCATACATTCATCCATTGTGTCAAGCACATTTGTACACACATCGCCATCTTCATTTTCAAGGCATTTCCTCTCTACTTGAGCACTTGATATAAGCCCCTCATTTTCCCCTTCTCCCCCCAACCTTTGCTCCCTTATCAACCCTTGATAATTTTAAATTATTGTTTTCATATCTTACATCGTCCTCTGTCACCCTTCACCCACTTTTCTGTTGTTTGTCCCCTGGGAGGGGGTTATATATTGATTCTTGTGAATGATTCCCAATTTCTCCCCCCGCCCCCTTCCCCCTATCCTCCTGGTATCTCTATAATCATTGTTGGTCCTGATGGGCTTATCTATCCTGAATTCCCTGTTTTGAGGGCCTTTATATGTAGCAGTGTACCTGTTTTGATCTAGTCCGATTTGTAAGGTAGACTTGAGGCAGTGGGGTGGCGGGAGGGGGAGGAAGTATTAAAGAACTAGAGGAAAGTTGTATGTTTCAGCAGTACTTCAGTACTATACTGCACCCTGAGTGGCTCATCTCTTCCTTGTGACCCTTCTGTAAGGGGATGCCCAATTGTCTACAGATGGACTTTGGTTCTCCACTCCATGTGCCCCCCGCCCTCACATTTGTATGACTTTGTTCTGGGTCTTAGATGCCTGATACCTGATCCCATCAACACCTCATGATCACATAAGCTGGTGTGCTTCTTCCATGTGGGCTTTGTTGCCCACATGAAATCTCCGGGGGAATATCAAAAATAGACTTTGGGGACAGAGTGTGGCACCCCATCAGACTCAAATGGAAAACACACCTAAAGGTCAAAAAACAGACCTGGAACTATTTATAGGCTTTTCCTTTTTTTGTCATTGGCTTTCTTTTAGCTGTTGTTATTTTGGTTTTTGTTGTTGTTGTTTTGTTAGTTTTATCTTCCTTTGTTGTTTTGTTTGGCGTTGCCTGTTTTTTGCACTTATTAATGCCTATGCATGTCTATCTAGATAAGATAGGCCGGATAAACAATTCAAGATGAAAACAACAGGACCAACGGGTCTCGGGGGACACGGGCGGAGGGGAGGTATCAAAATAGACGGGGTGGGGGCTATCAAACAACCCAGGGACAGGGGAACAACAAGTGAACTGAAATCAATGGAGAGAAAAGGGCGTAGGATGCCTTGTGGGACTTAATCAAGGGAGGAATTACTAAACCCAAATGATGGCAGAACATGATAGTGGGACAAAAAGGAAGTAAAAGGAAATAGAGGAAAGAACTAGGAGGCAAAGGATATTTATAGAGGTCTAAATACAGGCATGTACATATGTAAATACATTTATATATAATGATAGGGAAACAGATCTATGTACTTATATTTATATGCTAAGAATTAAGGTAGCAGATGGTCATTGGGTCTCAACTCAAGTACTCCTTCAACACAAGAACACTTTGTTCTAATAATCGGGCTTTTTGTGATGCCCACCTTCCCAACATAATCTCTGAAGACAAAACGGGTGCATAAGCAAATATTGGGAAGAAAGCTGGTGGTGACTGGTTATCCAAAGATATAGCATCTGGGGCCTTAAAGGCTTGAAGACAAACAAGCAGGCATCTAGCTGAGAAAAATCTAATTTTATAGTAGCCACAAATAAAGTAAAATGATAGAAGAGTGATCTGATGTTCATTTAGGGAGTGGTCCTGAAATTTCAGCAAGCCAGAGAATCATCTGGAGGCTTGTGAAATTACCAAATGCTAGGCCCAGCTCAACAGTTTCTAACAAGTTCCCCGAAGATGCTGATGCTGCTGGTCCAGAACCATAAAACCAGAAAACAACTGATGGACAAATCATTTTTCAACTCTAGCTGCGCATTAGAATCTCCTAGGGGACGTCTGGGAATTCTCTTGAATAGGCCTCCCCTCAGATCAATTAAAAACCTCGTAAGGAGACTATATTCAGGGTAAAAAGAGCCTTTGTTGTGTAGTAGATCACATGGGCTGCTAAGTGTAAGGTCCGCTGTTCAGAACCACCCCTTGCTCAGCAGCATGAAGAGGAGGTTTTCTCCTCCCACAAAGAGTTCCAGTCTCAGAAAGCCCAGAGGAGCCATGCCACTCCATCCTATGGAGACACTGTGAGTCCGATGGTGGTAAGAGTTTTATCCTAGTGCTGGACAGCGTATCATTTGAATACTAGTTTTGAACCCAGCTTGACACAGATGAAGCAGATGCTAACTGAGGTAGGGGAAATCATGGAAGAGGGAGAGTATGGAGAAAGATTTGACATGAACAGGTAACACACAACATCTAAAACACAAAAGTACAAAAGAAATCAGGGGTCAAGTCATGCACGATTTTGACTGTCCCACGCTAAGGTTCGTGGGCCTCCTTTGTGGACTTCCATTGAGCAGAAGCCTGGCAGGGCAATACCTGCCATCCATAATTATTGCTCTGGGGGCAACATTCTAAAGAGATGAAACAGCACGAGGGCTTGGAGACAGGAGATTTGCCAGGGCACAAGACTTATTTCCTCAGGGGACTATTTGCAGAGCATGCATCTTCCATATAAGTGTTTAAAAGCTCATTTAGTTCAAAGGTGACCTAAAAATACTGTTTTCTCATTCCCCCTTTGGTGACGACAGTTCCCCCTTGAAAGACTTCTCACAGGACTGCACTTCAGCTCCTTCCATCAATCCATGGCGATACATTTTAATAGTTCAAGATCAAAGCCTTTTCTTCTGAAAGGAGTCATTGTGTTGCACGACTTTGAAAAATAAGGATCTAGAAACGTTAATAAAAATAGAGCCATCTCAGAGATGCTGTGAATCCAGATCATCAGGATCTCCAGCACCCGTCCAGAGGACGCGAAGCAGAGGAATGAATGCAGGGCTCCACCTCGCACCGTTTCAGAAGTGAAAGTGACTGACCCAAAGGGCCCCAGAGAAGGGGCCGGAGGGTGCGGGCACGGAGGAAGAAAACTGCCGGAGCTAGCACTCTTGTCAGGGGTTTTAGAAGCTTAATATCCATTCACAGATAAGCCTTGTTATAGACAACAGGAGAATGTGACAATGGTACATGTTGCCATGATATCCTGCAGTCATTAAGGCTCTAGGTAGAACTATGTTTTCTTTAAATACACTCTTAATTTTTTAAGTGATATTTGAAGTCACCTGCCAATAATTGATTACATAGGCTATTAATTTGTTAAAAATTAAACCTTATGGATAATAATCTATCTCCCCTCTTCTTACTATGGGTGACTTTCTCTGTCATTATTGGATCTTAAAAGAAAAGAAGTAAAATGCAAACATGAACTTTGGTTTTTTTAACAACAGATGTATTTCCAATACCAAGGACATATTTTATGCTATTTATACCCCCTACCTTCCAGGTTAAAATTCTTTTTTTCTCTCTCTTTTTTTTAAGACATCAGATGTTTAACTGGCACATAAAGGAGCCCACTTTGCTCTAAGTCCACTGAACGCCCTTAGATAAATAATTAGAAAAGATGAGGGAGCTTCAAAAAGTTTATGGAAAAAATGACTCTGAAAGATGAATTCCCCCACAAACTTTTTGAAAGTACCCAGTATACTCATGCTTATTTTCATGAAAATGGTCAATTCAATGTTTAGTCTCTTTTCTTTTACCTTGATGTTGCCTAGAAATTAAAAGACTTGTGTAAAATGTTTCAAACTTCTCTTTAAAGACATTCTGATATTGAAAAAATACCACTCATTATAGTATTTGAAATAGTAAATCCTAGAAAACGAACAATCTTATGAATGAGTTCCCATCCAAATCTGGAAGCTGACATGAACTTGAACTACTACATACCTGAGCTTCTGGTGGTACTGCTTGACCTTCTCCAGTGAGGCTGCATTTATCTGGGCTTGAAACTCTTCCACTGAAACACTGTCCTTGTAGTAATACCCTTCCATGCTCTCCAGTGCTGGGTCAGAAAACAAGTGCATTTTACACAGGAGGTTTTGACAGCAATTACCAATCTTTAGTGTAATGTTACCGATCATTCATAAATCTATCAAATAGCACCGAGCATAAACTCATATACAAGAAACTACCTTTAACTACAAACAAGCATAAACCATTCTTCTGCTCTCAAAATAAATATCAAAACATTTGGTGGCTATCTCCATATATTAAGAAAAGGATCTTTCTAGCTTAAAAGTCCTTTGAATTGTAAAACATTTTGCATGCAAACACCAACTCCTTATTATCCATTTATGTGTATACAAGGGGGCTTCAAAATAATGGAGAAGGCATACAGCACGCACATCTGTACAGGGACTCTGAATAAGGGCTTATGCTTAGGGTTGTTGGTTTATCTGTTCATTCTTCTGGACTTCTGCATTAGTTAGGATCTTGGCAGCTGTTCCAGCAAGCTCTCAGCCCTCTATACACAAGCAGTAAATGGGAGGCTCCTTAAAAACAATCCCCAAAGCATGCCAGAATTCTATATTAATTTTCATTAACAAGTATGTATTTGGGAAAGGAAAATACCGCCGAAGGATTAAGTCTAATTGTCATAGTTCGATGCGGATTATTACTCCTCATCGTTGTGAAGTTAACAATGTAAGTAAGCATTAGAGTCAAACTCCCCATTCTGCTCCTCAGTAACTGTAAGACCTGGAACAAGCTAATCAATATCTGAGGTACTCAGGTTCCTCATTTGTGAGCTTGAAATAATAAGAGAGGCTACTAATTCGGGAAGGATACTGTGGGGCACAGTGGGTAAGTGCCCTGGCTGTTAACTGAAAGGCAGGCAGTGCAAATCTGGCAGCGACTCTGCCAGAGATAGATGCGGGAGTCTGCTTCTATCGAGATTAAAGCCTGGGAAACTCTAGGGGGCAGTCTGACAGGGTGACACTGTGTCAGAATGCACTCCCCATCAATGACTAGGGTTACCGGGAAACAATGAAGTTATCGCATGAAGATAATATGGCTATTATCATCATTTATTAATCGAGGTCCATGTTCTGGGCAACATGCCAGGTGCTTGAGGGGCAAGAGCAAATTCCAATTCCATGAGATCTAGAATGTGCATGTCCTCTGCTTAACAAAATGAGAAGTCTGGGAAACTCAGAGAAAGGCTATTCAAAGAAACAGCCATTATTGCTATTTTAAGACCAGTTGGGTGACTTAAGAGCAGAAAGATAGGAAGAAAAACCCTTAGAGGAAACAACAGAAACATATGATTGTAGAAATATAATTTAATATAAGTTTCTACATTTCTATAAGGTATCTGATGATTCCAAATTACAGTCCCTGAGTGTTGCAAAGGCTAAGATGCTAGGCTGCTGATGGAAAGGTTGGTGGTTTGAGTCCTTGCCAAAGTTCCTCAGAAGAAAGTCCTGGCAATCTACTACTGAGAACTCAGCCACTGAAATCCCTGCGGAACACAGCTCGCCTTCACCACCCACGGGGTCTTGCTGTGCGTGGAAATCAGCTCAGTGACAACCAGCCACCACCGTTGCCATCGAATTAATTCCAAAATTCCAGGTCCCACTAGAACTCCTCCTTAGGGTTTTGAAAACAATAACATTTTGTGTGGTAGCAGAGGGCTCCAAACGGCTGTTGGGCTTGAACGGCTGATCTTCTGGTTAGCAGTCCAATGCTTATTCCACGGTGCCACCAGGCTCTGTATGGGCAACTGGTCCGAGTATATATCCAAGTTAACCAGACAACGAAAATGTGCAGTTATCTAAAGTACTTCTTTAAAATAGGAAAGGAATCTAAAATTGTTGGCAAGAGTCTAGGCAAGACTTTTGTGACACACAGAACGGGGCTGTAGGGGATGAAGAGAGACAATTTGTTCTCTATTTCAAATCTAAAATTTGTGTGGCAATGAAAAAAGAGGACAGCACAACTGCCTCTTTTAGTGAAATCGCTTTTTTTTATTTGTAGCTACATAAAAATATAATAGAATGACATTGTTAAAAGTAAATGTTATTCTTAGCAAAAGTAGGTTGAGGATATAATATTGTTATGATAACTTCAATCCTGGTCTCAATTTAACATTTTCTTACTTAATTTCTTTGATTCTCTATATAATAACATGCTTCTCAAGAGTCATATGAATTTATTGCGTTAGGCAAACCTTTAAATGATTGCATAGCATTCCATCAAAAAGCATTACTGAAACACAATACTGTGTTTGCTTTACTTCTACTACTTCTGAGTTACTGCAAGCGGACCAGAACCAATGTCATCCAGGTGATGTTGACTCAGAGCGACCATCCCGAGTTTCTGAGGCTGTTACTGTCTATGGGAACAGATGTCCCAACTTTCTCCCAGTGACAATAAAAGAGCCCGTTACATTTGAATTATCGGCAAAAGAAAAAAAGGCATGCCTCAACAATGTTAGAGAACACTCAAAATGAAATCATTCTAAGACAAAGGATGCCATGTTTCTACACATTTCACAATAATGTGCTTCACCTCACCAGGATCCCGACAGGACCCATTTGCTGACCCGTAGAAAGTACTAGATGTAAATTAGCATGATCTTCACATTTATTCGTTTATCATGTTCTGCCTGTGCTGGCATCATGTATGCATGTTCCTGAGTTCCATACAATGAAAGTCTGTGTATTTGTGTGGGCTGGGCTTTGTTTGTTTGTTTATCTGCCTAAATTTCTGCTCTGCTCGTACCCTGACCTACAGCCATGCATGTTCCCTGAAGTTTACCTTACTTAACACCAACCATGAAATTCCTGATCCAATAAATAACAGATCTGATATCTACAAGAAAGTACCCAATGCATACACAAAACTAAAACCTTCAAATAAAATTTTATCCCAGCAATGGACTCCAATTAGAAAACGTCCATGTACTATCTCTTTCAATAACCAGATGGTAATCTCTGCTAACCAAATCTGAATTTCCTGTGCTTATCACAATTCAGGAATACAGAGAAACATTAATGACCCCTGTGGGGGATTAAGTGTATAGAGGAATTTAAAGAAACAGTTTTTATCACTAACAGATTTTTAATGTAACAACTTACTTCCTAATCTATCTTTCTCTCTCTCTCTCTCTCTCTTTCTTTCTTTCTTCTTTCTCTTTCATCTTTCTTTTTGGTTTGTGGCCTCAGAAGCCCTGGAGGTATAGTGGTTACCTGTTGCCTACTAATAATAAGGTCAGCAGTTCGAAACCGCCTGCTGCTTCCTGAGAGAAAGACGAGGGTGTCTACTCCTATAAGGAGTTACAGTCTCAGAAACCCCAGGGACAGTTCTACCCTATCCTATAGGGTGGCCACGAGCTGAACTCGACTCAATGGCAGTGAGCTTGGTTTGGTTTGGGTATATGTAACCTCAATTGCAGAAATATTTCCATTGTTATTCATTTAATTCATCTTTCAGATTTTTACTGTTGGAAGAATAACACAACCTGACAGTTGCTACTTAAATTGCAATCTAAACTTTAAATTATATTTTAACAGAAATGTTCTTTCTCCTGAAATAATATATATTTAGGGACTATTCTAAAATTATCACTAGAACAATTAAAAAAGAGATTCTAACTTGAAAAACAATCTTCTTCTGAACATTTGCTGCTGGCTGTGATTATTCAAGTATTTATGACTGATGTATGATAAATGCAGTTGAAAAATGCTTAGTGCCATCTGTCATCTCAGTAATGATTTCAGAAAAAAAAAAGATAAAAAAATAAAAAGGAGAAAACAAGCTTGAATCATTGCAAGCTCTGGTAGAAGCTTATAACACTGCCAGTCAGCCACCGTCCCTACTTCTAAAACTATTTTTATTCGTTTTTAATAATTTTAGGTTAAACTAAATGCCTACAATGTCTCCAAATAATCTATTTTTGGGTCATTGACTCTTTTAATACATTTTATTTCATCAAAACCAAAACTACCAGTGAGATGCTTGACATTGCAATATGAGGGTGAGTGAAAACCATGCCTATGAACTGACTGCTCTTGTTGCTGCTGTGGACTGTGGTGAGGAGCCCTGGTGGAGCAGTAGGTGACATGTTGGTCAGTTAACCACAAGGTCTGCAAAACCGCCAGCCTCTTCCAGCGAGAAAGACGAGGCTTTCTGCCCCTGCCAACATGTGGAGTCCTGGCAGCCCATCGGGGGCACTTCTGCCCCGTCGTATATGGCCGCTATGGGTTGGACTGGCCTGGTGGCAGTGAGTCCAGTGGATGAAGGGCTGTGGAATCAATTCCAATTACAGTGACTATGCAGTTTTCCATTTGCGTGACACTGCCTCCTCAGAGGCCCCCAGGATTATTCTGTGTCCTTTCAGAAAATCTACAAGATTACCTTCTCGAAATTCCCAACGCTTCACCTTAACCTCCTCAGCTGACCTCGCTGCTTGAATGTAACCGGCCCTGGAGATCCCCGTAGCAGTCACTGCTTGGATTGCACTGTGCTTTCTGGACCCTACTGGTAAACAAGACGCGTCCCCAGTTATGATTGATCCCATACTCCACACGGTGGCCTTTAGTACCTTCCATTTTACCTAAAACACTAGTGGAAAGACTCTCTCAGCCCCTTGACATCCCACAGGGCTTTTGGGTATTCATCAAATCTAAAGCCTGTCGAGGGCAAGGTATTTGTTTGAAATTAACAATGCTGAACAATGAGAAAATGCAACTTCAGTAGCTATCCCATCATTCATGATTCTGTGGTCTTTTCCCACCAGTTTGTAGAGCTCAACCACGGAGGCATCGTTCCTCTGACGGGGCAGTATCTCCTCCCAGGTCATATTGGAAATCTTCCCAACCTTCTTTAAAATGCTCAATCCACCTTGACCTGGTGTTTTACATGCAGCAACACTCCGGTAAACTTGTTGCCAAGAAAGCTTCCATGAATTGAAAAGATGCTCCACTTGAGTTTTGTAAAATTTCTGATATCACCCCTAAAAGCAGTGCTCTCCCCACCCCCATGTCACAAAAGTATATTGTTCATGGAAGAATGAGACTAGCACAAGTGTATTCCTGAGAGACCCATCGGCTACTTACTTATTACAGATACATGTTGAGCCATATTTTGTTTGGAATAAATGTGTACCTGCATATCTAAAACCATACTAGCAATACTTTGGACTTACTCTTGTATTGTTTTCAAAGTATGTCTTCAACATATTCCATTCGAATTTTGTATTGAAGACAACATTGTGAAAACATCAATACCACCCAAAGAAATCTACAACATGATGCAATCTTGGTCCAGACCCATCATTATTTAAAGAGGTGGAAAAACTAATCACCAGCTTTAGGTGGAAAGCTCGGACAACCTTTAGGAGAGAAACCTTGGACAAGCAGGGCACTCTTACAGAAAAACAAAGTAGATGGCCTCCCACCCCCTGATGTCAACCCTTCCTGCACAGTCACTTTATTCAAATCGGCCTGGCACTGGTACAATGACAGATACACAGACAAATGGCAGCCATGGACAGCTGATCTTTGACAAAGTGCTGAAACCCGTTAAATGGGGAAGAGATAGTGGTCTAACAAATGGTGCTGACAACGCTGGATATCCATTTGCAGAAAATGAAAGAGGATCCATATCTCCGATTCTATAAAAAACAACTCAAAATTGACCAAAGACCTATATGTAAACGTAAAACCATACAGACTATCAAAGAAAAATATAGACAAACTTACATGGTATAAATATGCTATCAAACATGCTAAAAGGGCATAAACAGAAGAAGACCAAAGAGACAACTAGGATCTCCTAAAAGTTAAACATGGATGTGGATCGAAAGGTCCCACCAAAATAGTAAGAAGAACCTCCAGGCGGGGAACGGTGATTTTGGCCATCTCAGTTGTTTTCTATGTTACCCCTTTTCATTACAGAATCTTGTACTGTCTACACTGGCCCTGCATACCGCCACAGTCCGCCAAGGAGAAGTGATGATGTTTCCGAATAGCTCCTAGGCCTTCTGTTAAGGGAAACTTCTCTCTGTTCAGTGTATTTCTACTTTTGAGGAAGGCACTGTTTTAACCTATGACAATGGAAGGAAGAATGGCTATATTTTGCAATTCAAGGTTTCAAAATAATGTACAGACAGTTCAAAGCAGAATATCCTCTTGTTCATGAAGTTCAATTTTACGTGCTTGTCTGGGGTCTTTTGTTAGCTAGACTGATTATGTTGGACCTACTCTCCATTATTTACTGAGACCATGACAATTTCCTAGCAAAACCAATGCAATTGTTGAAAATTCAAAAAGAAAAACGTCCTATGAGACTACTCAGAGAAATTGACAAATCTAGCGAATATAGCATGCCTCTTTTTTTTTCTTCATCATATATTAGAAGACCCCACAACAATCTGGACTTTTGATCTCTTCTAAGTAGGGTTATCTTATTTCAGAAACCAAAAGGGTCCCAACCATCCTTTAGATCCTAGTTCACAGCAAGACTTCATACTCATGTTGACCATGATCCCTTCACTACACCTGATCTTTAGTCTCCATTTCAAATTAAAATAAAGTGTCGTTATAAAAGAAACACATACTTATAGACCAAAAAATGGACATAAGACAGAAAGACTAAAATAACAAACAGCATTAATTTATTCTCCCAATGATACCTGTTGACAAAAAATATAAATAAAATTGAGGCTGTAATATAAATCCTTGGTGTATTCTGCATGTATAGTAAAATTTACTTTATGTCATAAAATATGCTTAGCACATTTAATGACTCTACCATAATTTAGGAACCTTGGCGGTACTGTTGGGTAGTGCTGGACTGCTAATCTCAAGTTCAACAGTTCAAACCCGCCAGCGTTTCTGAGGGAGAAAGATGAGGTGACCTGCTGCCAAAAAGACTGACAGGCTCTGAAATCCACGTAGGCCTCCTATGAGCTGAAATTGACTCAATAGCCAGGGGTTTTTGACGGACGGTTCCGTGATAATATACTTGGCTATTAACTGAAAGGTTGGCTATTTGAACGGACCAGCTGCTCTGTGGGAGAACGGACAGATTGCTTCCCTGAAGATTTACAACCTTGTAAACTCTGTGGAGGCCAGTCTTCACCCCACACGGTTGCTATGAGACAGAATCAACTCAAAGGCAATGGGTTTTGTTTTGTGTTTATTGTAATTTATGTAACTCAGTTAGTTCATAGGAATCAATTTATCTTTATTAAAAGTAATGCCTTGAATCTTAATTACAGACCACACTGTCATCCTGTTTGACACGTCTGTTAACCACAGAAGATTGTGTTCTTAATATTCATATAACATCTGGGACATGAATATATTACTACTTAAGCATGCTGAAATAATTTTTGAATTAATGAAAGAAGTGTGACCATTCTAATTAATTTCATAATAGAATCTGAGAATGAAAAAAAAAATAACTTACGCATGGAAAGAATCAAAACTCAAGAAGTTTACCTTGTGCAAAGAGAACAGGATGAATTTTAAACCCTCCTCCATTTCTCAAACGTTGAGGCAGTTGTTCAAAATGATAACTGTCGATGTAGAAGTAAACCTTCAGGGCTTGCCGGCTTCCTTCAGCTTGGTATGTAAGAGGGACATCTAAAATAACATTTAATATTATATTACTTCCTCAAATTAGGAAATACTTTACGGTACATTTGCAGAGCTTTAGGAAATACAGAATACGAAGGAACCTGAGTGACGCGTTGGTTAACTGCTCAGCTGCTCATTGAAAGGCCAGCTGTTGGACCCAGCAGTTGCTTTAAAGGAGAGAGATGTGGCTGGCGGAAATGAATACAGTCAGTACAGAAACACAGTCAAGACAGAAATTCATATTGTAAAACCTGTGAAAACTGGAACCGTGTAAAGCAGAAACCTGTCAGAGAAGAGAAAGTCAATAATCTACATCAAAATAAGTGATAGAAAAGTGATGAAGACGGAATCTGTTATGGGTGGAAATTTTGCAGGGTTCGTCCAACCTCAGTCCAATCAAGCTTAGACTCTGATGGGTTTCCCAGCTTCTTAACCAGGAACAGGGGGGGGG